TTTAACATAAGTATCGACAAAGGATATCTTGAACTGGTCCCTATCTTTTAAGTCATCAAAAAKATTTTCATAGCATWCAATACTCATATGGAGGTGATCTTCAGCTTTGTTGACGTCTTTAAGTCTGGAATCGGCTTTGAAGCAAATTCCTACAAAAGAAAGTTTATATTATGCATATGTAATACTGAGAAAATACCTACTGAAGGGAAAATCAACCCTCGTTGGTTGAASAACTTGTAAAATCGGGCGGCAGATATTGGTATTTTTGTTTCTGGATATATAGTTAGCGTTTGTTTTCGTGTATGTGTTGAGATTGTTGGTTATTTCTTTGTTGTTGTGGGTGTCATATATCACTTCCAAAATGTTCCTRCACATTTTAATTACTCGATGAAGCACTGTTAGGCTGGTAGGCTGCCCCATCAACCACCCCTTTTCCCCCAGGCCACTAAACGCTTACCGAAAGAGTGATGACTAACCGCTTCTCCCCATCTGTCTCCAATGTCTTTAGCAATGCTTAGCTGCTCTTCAAAATACTCAATGGCCTTGTGATATTCCCCAAGTGAGGCATAAGCATTTCCTAAGAGTCCATAACTGCTTCCTTCTCCTTGCCTACTACCAATTTCTTTAGCAATGCTTAGACTCTGTTCATGATATTCGATGGCCTTGTGATATTCCCCTAGAGATCGATAGGCATTTCCTAAGTTTCCGTAACTGCTTCCTTCTCCCCGACTGTTACCAATCTCTTTAGAAATGCCAAGACTTCGTTCATGATATTTAATGGCCTTGTGAAATTCCCCTAGTGAGGCATAGGCATTTCCTAAGTTTCCGTAACTGCTTCCTTCTCTATATCTGTTACCAATCTCTTTAGCAATGCTCAGACATCGTTCATTATATTCAATGGCCTTGTGATATTCCCCCAGAGATTGATAGGTAATTCCTAAGTTTCCATAGCTGCTTCCTTCGCCCTCTTTGTCACCTATCTCCCTAGCAATTATTAGTCTCTTTTCATGATATTCTATGGCCTTGTAATAATCACCTAATGATCGATAGCCATTTCCTAAGTTTTCGTAACCGTTTCCTTGTCCTTTTCTGTCCCCAATCTCTGTAGCAATGCTCAGACTTCGTTCATTATATTCGATGGCCTTGTGATATTCTCCCAGATATTGATAGGTGTTTCCTAAGTTTTCGCAACTGCATCCTTCTCCATGTCTGTAACCAATCTCTTTGGCAATTTTTAGATTCTTTTCATGACACTCAATGGCCTTGCGATATTCTCCTAATAATCGATAAACATTTCCTAAGTTGCCGTAACTGATTCCTTCTCCCTGCCTGTCACCAATCTCTTTAGCAAAGCTTAGACTCTTTTCATTATATTCAATGGCCTTGTGATATTCCCCTAAAGATTGATAGACAATTCCTAAGTTTCCATAACTGCTTCCTTCACTCTCTCTGTCGCCAATCTCTTTAGCAATGTGTAGTCTCTTTTCATGATATTCTATGGCCTTGCAATATTCCCCTAGTAAGTCATATGCATTTCCTAAGTTKCCATAACTGATTCCTTCTCCTTGTCTGTCACCAATCTCTATGGCAATGCTAAGGCTCTTTCCATGATATTCGATGGCTTTGTGATATTCCCCTAGTGTGTCATAGGCATTTCCTAAGCTTCCGTAAACATTTGCTTCTCCCTGTCTGTCACCAGTCTCTTTGGCAATATTAAGGCTCTTTTCGTGATATTCAATGGACTTGTGATATTCTCCTAGTGAGTCGTAAGCATTTCCTAAGTTTCCGTAAGCATTCCCTTCTGTACGCATGTCACCAATCTCTTTGGCAATGCTAAGGCTCTTTTCGTGATATTCAATGGCCTTGCGATATTCTCCTAGTGAGTCGTAAGCATTTCCTAAGTTTCCGTAAGCATGTTCTTCAGTCTGTATGTCACCAATCTCTTTAGCAATGCGTAGACTCCGCTCGTGATATTCAATGGCTTTGTGGTATTCCCCTAGTGAGTTATAGGAAATTCCCAAGTTTCCGTAACTGCTTCCTTCTCCCCGTTTGTCATCAAACTCTTTAGATATGGTTAGCATCTTTTCATGATATTCAATGGCCTTGTGATATTTCCCTGTGAAGTGATAGGCAATTCCTAAGTTTCCGTAAGCATTTCCTTCTCCTTGTCTGTCGCCAATCTCTTTAGCAATTTTTTGGCTCTTTTCGTGATATTCAATGGCCTTGTTATATTGTCCAAGAAACTGATAAGCTCTTCCTAAGTTTGAGTAAATTTTTCCTTCTTCTTGTCTGTTACCGTTTGTTTTTGCAATACBTATTCTTTCCTCAAGATTTTTAATTGACTTGTAACAATCAGGCAACTGTTGATGATTAGTATTTTCCATTGAGACCTGCATTGTTTTTGAACGGGGCCTGGAAATAAAGAAAACATAAGTTGACTGTAAAAAWTTTTTATGCATTAATGCATTAATTTATATTTTGAGTGAATATGGTGGATGATGTAAATAGAGAATACTTTTTCTTGAATAATGGTTGTTGTTTATAAGTACACAGGTGATATCTTCGAGGATAGAAAGGCATGTAGTCTTACCAATCTTCCTAGTATGTTAATATTGCCGAGGTTTTATAGATACAGCTGCCTCTCTTTAGAGAATTACTTGCGTAAAGCGACAWTTTCCCGTATTAAATGGTTATGAATTTTCCGGTTTTTTTCTTCTAGTATTAACATGTCAGTAGCACTTAACAATTTGTTTCTTCATGTTGGGTCATGTATGAAGTAAAGCCGGCTTTCATGATAGCGTCATCCAATCAATACCAACAAGATTTGGCGATTTTTTGATTTGCCCTATATGCATCCATGCAACGAAAAATCAGATTTGTTAATTACGTGGGCTTCCTGTGGAAGCTCACGTCTAAACATGCAAGTGGACTTTTCTTCTTCGTCGTCGTCGTGAATATTACGCTTCAAATTGGTAGCGCCTGCGTTGCAGATGGTCTGGAGTCTCACTTTCCACGGGTATATATCTCAAACTAAACCAATCCGCGCTTTGTTGTCATTCACGACATGTATTGTTTCGTGCGTCAGTCGGCCTCGTGGCGTTATCGCGATAGAGCGGATTTCGTATGAGTGGGAAACGGACGGTGCCCCCATTGTTTCACCAAAATTCTGCAGGCCAGGTGCGGTAACGGTGCGGTGACCATGCGGTAACGGTGTCCCACTCATACGGAATCCGCTCTATCTACAATTGTAGCTTCACTTTAATCAACCATAGAACGCTGATCTCACTTACAAATTTTAAGAATTTTATCTTCTCACACGCCGTTCGTGGTAGGCCCACACTAAAAGATGTTCAGCGTTCATGCCGGTCCACGAACTCAAAGTTCTTTCTAGTTCTCGAATGATTCAAACGATCAAAATATTACTCAAAGTTATAATACTGAGAAAACTGCAAAGGCTGTACCGTTTCTATTGGTTATTATCTCTGGGAGCTACTACGAAACTATGGTATCACCTTTCA